GAGATCTCATGAGGAAAATTCTGATGCAGGGAACTTTACGAAACTATGCTAGATTTTAAAACCAAAATGGTACTTATTAAAAAAAAAAAAATCTTTCAAATATCAAGTTGTAAATGTGTATCTACCTCTCTCGTCAAGTGACGTCTTCACACATCGAGTTTTATACAACTATGTATCTATCTCTCATGTAATTACAGATAGAGACACGCATGTAATTTACGATTAAAATAAATAATCCAAACAGATCACCGTACACTGGAGGAGGCATGTCAAGTCTTGAAACTATAAAATTATAACGTAGAAGCGCTAGCTTTCACTAAGGAAAGTGTAAGACAAGCTACATAATTAAATTCACTCATTCACATGTCGATCAAAACTGAGCTCAACGGATGCAGCAATCTTTCAACATTGCACGCTAACTAGATGGGATTATATGTACAAGCAAAGTAATTGAAGGCTCTAACAGCAATATCTCCAAAAGTTCTTTGGCCACTGAAAATTTGCCATCAAGCCATCCTAGGGCCGTTTAGTACCCAGTTGTAGACTCGAACTCGGTCATCGGAGCCTTCCTCTTCCCACCGGGATTACATGCAGAGAAACCTTTGTGTATTTGATGATCTGTTTCGGCATGCATGCTTCTTTCACCAAGTATTGGAACTTCAGCATCATGTGGTACAAATGAGAGGAGATGTGAACGGAAGATTTGTGGCCGATAGGCGTTGTCAGTTTGCTGCCCAGTCACTCCACTGGCTTCTTGTTTGGGGTCTAACGGTGCTCCTCCAGAAAGAGGTTGCGCATTAAAGTCCATCTCATTGAACATGAGGTTTGCAATGGCTCTGTCAATGGTGTTTGTCTCTGATTCTGTTCCTTTATTGCTCCCTGGCCTGAATATGAAATTTATTTTTCTGATCAAGAGATCCTGAGTGCCAACAACAAGGACAAGTACGCAGCAGAAACATTAACAAACTAAACCGCAAGCCAGAGTAAGAAAACACATTGCCATTCATTGCCCAAACCAGTGCCTAACGCCCAGTTTGGTGTGGTCAATATTGGAACTACAAGCTAATGTAGGAATGCCCCAGGAGTACTTCAAAGCAATACAAGGGCAAAGATGAGAACTTCAAATTTGGAGAACAAGATACTCTTATAAGTATGTAAAGCATAAAAGAATCGTCTCCTGCCAAAAGTAACATCATAGCTACTCTTGCAATCAAAAAGTTCAGGGCTATCAGTTTTAGCTAACTTTACCACTGCCAGCAATGAAGGTTTCACCCAAAAAATCTACCACAAATTACCCTATCACCAATGTGAAACCAGTGGCTTTTAAATTGACAATCACAACTCAGCAATGCCATTTTTCATACATGATAACATGATGAGATTGTTAACATCAAATGGATTAAACTCCAAAGAGACCGAAGGTAAATGTAGCAAGTATCACAAATATACCTGATAGTCTCATCCTGAGCTGTCCATGAAGAGGGTTCTTCAATTTCACTCGCTTGGTCTCCATCTTGGCTCTGTGTAGCGAGATTTCCTTTTGAGTTGTTGGCAAGGCGGTATAAGGCATCGCGAAAGCAAATTCGTGTCTTTTCATTCAACTGATAATTCAACAACAGAGTAAGATTCCATAACCAATAATGAATGTGAAGGATATGTTTCACAACATGCGCTTTATTCTACTTTCAAGATCTAAGTTTACCTGTGTCATCACCATTTCCAGTTCATGCAATACTGATTCTTCAATTGATGTTTCCTCACCCAGAAGTCCATTCATGCTGCCTTGCTCAGGTGGGGCAAAGACGCTTTCTGCCTGTATCATAAAAAAGAAATACATAGATAAGATATAAGCTTGAAAGTCAAGAAGCTATAAGACATAAGAAGTCAAGGAAACTATTACTACAGCAATGCTACAGATGTTGGTAAATGAAAGTCAAGAAACTAGCACTACAAATCAACTTCAATAACAGACGCCAGCAACTTTCAGCAAGGGTCTCTGTTTGTTAAAAAAAAATTAGTAGGAGGAGAAAAACAAAGCCACTTTTCCTTTTCTTGCCTTGCAAAAGAGTCCAGACATAGAGAGCAGTGATAAGTAATTTAAGTATATGACGACCATACACATCCCTCTGCAAATGGAAAAGTATTTTTCATTTAAATCAAGTAAAAGTTTTTCTTCAAAATAAAAGAAGGAAACGATACTGAGGGCCCGGTTTTTAACATTCTGTTTTTCTTTTCACTTGAACACAGAGTAGAGAGAAAGTTAAAAGAGTGACTAGAGAAGAGAAGAAGAGGGGAAGTACATAAAAGAGCTTTAAGAAGTTTAAAATTAATGAAGATAAAAGTTTAAAATTTTAATTGACAAAATCTTGATATTTGCAGAATGCTAATGGATACGGTGACATGATAACTTAGAAAAAACCTGTAACTCATAGAAACCATTTTTTGAAATGACCATGGCAAGATGAATTGCCTGTTAAAGCAAAAATGGTCGGCTTTCAGGTACAACAAACTTCTCAGCAATACGCAAGTAATAGCTATTTAGATACCTATCTTCAACATATACATACAATCACACTGCTGGTAACCCAAGCATGTCAGAAGACAGCTGTCCCAGGCGAAGAATTAGGCAAGCTACCATGCCCTCTGGCCAATTTCAAACTTAATGCAAATAAAATCTCACCTTTACTGATGGGCAAGCTTTTTTCTCTGAGTTGCATTGAATATACTGTGAAGTAGTGGCATGCCCTTTCTCTGAACCCGCTGCGGGTGAAAACGCATGATTTTTAAGATACTTTGAGCTTCCTGCACTATGTGCACTGCTCGAGAAACTTTGTGACTCCAAACTCATGCTTGTCGAGATATTATCAGTGGGCAACATGCCATTGGAATCAGGACAAAAATAGAATGACTTGTGTATATTTTCTGCCCCAGGAAGATCATCAAGTAAGGAACTCCTGCATTAAGGAAAAGCCAGAAGATGAGAAACCAAACACAAGTAAAAATAAGGTGACATTTGATTAAAGTAAAGCACATAGAATTTAGGCATATTGGAAATCATATGGATATTGAATGGCTCTATTGCATCACCAGTAATAAAATTTTGATCTTTTAAAATAGGACCAAAAACAAAATAGGATATTACAAAGAATGGGGGTATAGAATCAGTTTGTTATTATGCTTTTCAACTGTTGACTATCATGCAGCCGATGCCATCTTCTGTAATGGCACCAACCCCAAGATAACCTAGTGCAGAATATGACATGAAAACACAATGGAGCAATTCAATTTCCATTGGATTCCCTATGATGCCACAATTGATCTTAACAAATTAAGGCAGTTAAGAAACTACATGGTTTCCTACAGGCATTAAATCAAGTATCTTAATCCCAGAGGTTACGCTTGTACAAGAAAATGTCATCCATCTGTTCGAGTCCTGCTAGGTCTTCAAGCTGATTATTGGTTCGATTTAATGAATGTGTGGTCTGCTGAAGAGAGTCCTCGGAAAATCCTTCACATACACTTGAACTGCTAGATGGATCTTTTTCATTAACAGAAGTTTCCATCTCCAAGTCATCAAATAAACTGCTACCGTTATAGTTGAGCTCTTTAGTGAATTGTGGATATATAGAAAAGCATTTATTAGTGGGCTGAAAGCATTCGGAAGCACTGATTCCCCATTTCGACCAACTGTCCGGAGATGGAAGCCTGTCCGATCCTCCATCATTTGGAACAACAACGTCATCAATGCCACTCCCGTAATACCACTCCATGATACTTGTTCTGAAATAAGAAACACGAAATGTTATAAACAAGCATAAAATGAGTAATTATGACAACAGGCAATTCTGATATTTACAGATTTTGAGAACTTATGGATATTAGGACTGGTCATCAAGAAATCAGAAGAAGCAAAATAAAGGGAAAAAGTCCTATATTCCCCCTTCATGGTGGTTCTCCTAGTCATATACTTCAAGTCTTGTACGATTACTTAATCTACACAGGAATTTTCCATTTGCAGTTATTTTAAATAACAAAGCAACAAAATTACCTACAAAACCTCTGTTTTGTTAACTCCTACATCCTCAGTTTTCTTGGTAATCAAACAGAGACCTAGATGTGTTGATTACTGCGCTCTAGTAGTGGAATATTTCAAGAAGTAGACCCTACTTGTAAAACTAAAAGTTGTTTTTTGGGATAGATTACTTCCGAGATTAGTTCAGCAACTTCTAAAAGAAGAAGATGATGATGATTATGGTGATAAAAAATCTAACCAAATTAACAAAAGTTCAAAATTTGTTCCAGATCTGGTAACTACAAAAAAGGTAAACTAGAAGCAGGACAAAAAAAACTCCAATCATTTTATTTGGTATGGAAGGATTTGATTATAAAACCATTCAACTTCTCTAATCTCTTTGATTTCAAATACTGACTAAATCTAAAATATTCTCCAATTCCGTTTAAAAGTTTGAATTTCATTTCTTTTCGTACACATCCACAGCATCTGGAGACACAACTTTATCAAACTAAGAAATATTCAGCATACAAGCAACTGTATCATCAAACATACAAGAACAGCTGTGAATAACAAGGTCAACCAAGACATCAAAAACCAGAAATTCTAATAAAGACCAAGACTTTACACAACTAAGAGAAGAACCATGTTCTCCATCAGCCATCTGAACACATACATATACTAAATAAGCAAAACTGATGAAAGAACATTACCTTGTGATGGATTATTTGAGAAAATGAAGACGACCCAGTTGCTGATTCAGAGAAGTAAGTCAGCCCAGATGAAGAAATGCAATATAGAAAGCTAAAATCTTTGATGGGTTTTGTTCAAGTTGAAGTTGGAGTCTTTGAGATACCCAGTGTGTTTCAGCTGGACAACATATGAGGCGGCCGTAGTTTTTGGGTGGTCAGGTTTTTTTTATAATTTATTGCTTTAAGAAAATTATTCCAAATAAAGCAACTTGTAGATAGAGAACAAGATAGAAATAGAGCTACAGTGGCAGAGAGAGAGAGGAAAGAGCTAGTTGCTGTGATTTCTTGTGGCTGAGAATGGGAGAGTGAGATTAGTGGTTGAGGAGGGCTCCATCAAAAACTGCATTCTCATTGAGCCAGGTGTCCGAATCTGGTCCCACAACAGAGAAATCAGATTTATTACTTGGTGGAAAATTGCGCTCGGGATGCCGTGACCATCTAATATTTCATTTCCACAAATACCCCTGTATTATTTAATTAATTTGGCCCATCGCAGGGTCACACAGGAAGCGAGGTACGTGGTCTAATTGGTCTTTTCCCACGTCAAGTGCTGTAAAGGCATTCACGTTCGTGGGTCCCGCATAGATTTCCACGCCATATACGTGGCTGCATATGCTTGGGCTCGCTTGACACGTGGCTTAATATGCTTGGAGTTGAGTGACACGTGGCTTCAACGGAGAGAACCGAAGGAGTTGCAAGTTGTGTGGTCAAAAAAAGGTGTAGCTTGGTTTTATTTGCGGGGAATTGGGATAAGATGTAGTCGGATACAGACTACGAGACGATTTAGGGCCACAAGATTCCTGGTACCAGGATAGCTCTAAATTACACAGTTAAAATTTAAATTAAATAGGGGAGAAATTTTGGAAATGCCTTCTCTTTTCTTTTGGGCCAATTTCAGTTGAGTGACACGTGGCTTCAACGGAGAGAACCGAAGGAGTTGCAAGTTGTGTGGTCAAAAAAAGGTGTAGCTTGGTTTTATTTGCGGGGAATTGGGATAAGATGTAGTCGGATACAGACTACGAGACGATTTAGGGCCACAAGATTCCTGGTACCAAGATAGCTCTAAATTACACAGTTAAAATTTAAATTAAATAGGGGAGAAATTTTGGAAATGCCTTCTCTTTTCTTTTGGGCCAATTTGTGGAAGGATTTAATCCATAATAATTATTGTTTTTAAAATTATTGATTTAAGATAACATTTATCATTAGAGACAAATTATTATTGACGTGTATATAAAAAAAATTTATCAACATTCCAAAAAAAAAAAAAAGTTTCAGTACACATGTCAAATAGTAATTGGTCTGTACGAAGAAATGTTTCGTACATGTATGACTTTTCTTAAGATCTCTTTTATCTTCTCTCTCATTTTCCTAATTCTTCTCTTCCCTGTCTTAATTTCGGACTACGTCTTTATGCTTCAACTACTAACACTGCTATGAAGCACCAATATATGTTTCAAGTGTAACATTAATCTAGTACAAACAAAGGTCATTTTTTCAGTTTTCTTTTCTTCTCCAAGTTGTTTTTTTAAAGCACCGATTATATATTTGCATCTAGATCCCTTGTCCCTATTTTTTGGGCTGCATTATGATGGTTGCATTGTTCCTTTTTGACTATGTTTCTAATTCTACTTACTAAACAAAAACAACAGTCATTTAACACATCTCTAATATTACAAAGGACTTGTAACTAGTGGTTAAGGGTAGTTATCATATACTTGAGGTTATGTGACCTCTTTCCTAGTGTCGCTTGTACTTTTTTTTTATTATAAAAAGTTATTAGATCTAGGTCCAAAATAATTATATGTCATTGGGTTGAGTTCACGCGTATTTTGTTTTAAATGTAGGTCCTTTGACTTTTATTACTTTTTTTGTTATGTCGATTTTGTCCTTTGAGGTAGATAAGGAAAACACATTGAAAATCTAAATTTAATTCATTATTTCCTTGTAATTGAATTTCAGAATTTGAATTTTGAATTATTTCCTTCATAATATTTACCTAATATATGGATAAAATACAATTTAATCAATGAAGGTAAAGACCCACATATTATATTTCAAGCACCCACATGAAATTATGTACCTAACATACGAGTAAATAGTGTTATTATTAGCAACAACAAAAACTTAATGATAAATCATGCTACTTATAATTCAGGAACATAAATTAGAAGACTACCTATACGCCAGATACAAAAATAGACAAATAAAAGTGTATGTTACCTGTAAAAAAAAATGTACATAAAATACTACTATACGTTATCGAAAATATGTTAAAATTGTTACTTATAACTCATGTACATAAACTAAAACACCTATGATACACCAAGCCGAGAACATAGAACATACATACGTTACTTTACCCACACAATGGGGTAAACTTAGGTACCTACAACAAATGTCATAAGCATTAAAAAAATAAAAATTATATAAAAAATTAGATCAAGAAAGAAAATATGATATACCTATTCTGATGAAAAATAAGAAAACCCAACAGAGAGAATTTTTTTTAGTATTAGTACAACCCAAATTAACCCACATAATGAAAAAGGATTGGGTTCAAGAAAATAACAAAATTCAACCTAACGAAAAATAAAAAAATAAAAAAGAATAATGAGATAATAGTAAAAAATTGCCCCTTGTGGCTGATGGTCTTTGTGCCTAATTTATTAATACAATTATCGCTTTTCTCTCAAACAAATATGTAAATTGCAAGAGTGAAACAAATATAGTGAGACATCAATTGTTGCGGAAAGCACTTAATTAAAGTTGATTAGAAAATTTCACTCTTGCAAAATTCAATAAATAGAATTTTTTTTTTTTAAGTTGATTAGAAAATTTCTAAATTCAATAAATAGACATGTAATTAAAAGCAAATTGAATCTGATAATTAATGTCCTATAATTAATAAAGGGATATGATTTCCCCACTCCCATTTTCTCCACTTACACTCCCTTTCGCTTTTTAATACTTTTTAATCAATTTTGTTCCTTCTCTTTCCTATTCTACGCTTACCCTATATTAATTTCTTTTTTACTTCACTTTTATATTATTTCTTTTTCTTTATACTTAATTTTATAACTTACACTCCATTTTCAGTATTAAAGGGAAAAAAAACTTAATTTCTTACTCTATTAAAGGAAAAAAAAACTAAAAATGGAGTGCAAGTTGGAAAATTAAGTATAAAGAAAAAGAACTAATATAAAAGTGAAGTAAAAGGAAATTAATGTAGGGTAAGCGTAGAATAGGAAAGAGAAGGAACAAAATTGATTAAAAAGTATTAAAAAGCGAAAGGGAGTGTAAGTGGAGAAAATGGGAGTGGGGAAATCATATCCCTTTATTAATTATAGGACATTAATTATGAAGCATCTCCATTTGGATATGCCCCAAGCCTTCATCCTGTAGTTAGCTTGGTTTAAAGTGATGTTATACGTGGCAACTCAATCATCGGAAGATCTCTTCTGTATGGCATCTGTGTGCCCATTATTCCAGATGTTGTCAAACACTCCACAAGTGTGAAAAACCATTTCAATGACAAAGTACCTAGACCATCCTAGCTGGTACCATGCCAATCCTGCGGTCCAGCTTTTCTTGCAACAATGCTAGGCTTACGAGAACCCTGAGTCGATATTTAGAGAAGCGTTCGAAATGTTTTTCATGCAGGGTAACGTGGAAGCATTGTATGGGATGCGCATTGCAGCAACGGCAAGCCATATGGAAGCGGCATATCTAGTTGGACTACTTGGCATATCCGAAATTGGTCAGTCAAAAGAGGATGCATTACAATTTTTGTGTTCTTTGAATCAACGTAACAACATTGATATGAAAGGAACCAGAGATGCTTTGAGACGAAGATTAAGCCGAGTTTTGTCTGTTTCAAGACATATCGTAGATATGTTTTACTATGGAAAGATTAAGTTCAATCACTACAGCGCTTGTAACAACAACGAATGATGTTTTCTTATTGAAGGCTGGCCGACTGAAGCAAAGATAAATCCTACCTTCTGGACTTGTTGCAATCAATGCAAATGGCACTGTGAGAGTGTTTTTTGGTTCAAGGTGATATGTGTGTATGTTGTACCGGGGAATCCATACCCTTATAATTAGTTGTAGTATGTTTTTTATGGTTTTTATGTAAGAAGTTATATTTCCTTTCCTTGGTTGGTTGATGATTGTGTGGATGTGGGATTGATTTAGTTGTTTAGAAACTTAGATTGGAATGATGGATTTTTATGGGTTATACCTGAATTTGCATGATTTCAGGATTTGAAAGAGAAGAAAAAAGTGATTTGGGCATGTTAGTAAGAACTTATTAGGTTTTGGCAATTTGTCAAAAAAAAAAAAGGATTTTGGCTGAAACTAAATATGATTTGGGCTTTTTTTGGTAAGAACTTATTAGGTTTTGGAATTTGTCAAAAAAAAACAAAGGATTTTGGCTGAAACTAAATATGATTTGGGCTTTTTTTGGCTGAAAATAAATATGATCTGGGCTTTTGAAAAATGGTAGCATTGGACTCCATCGAAATACAAAATCGACTCGAGAACCGAGGTCCATTGCAATTTGGCCCACTTGCGAGTTTCAACTTAGACCCGACTTAACCCAAGAACCGAGGCCGTCATCTATTTAGTCCACAGGTCGACCAAAATTTGACCCGATCCGAATCGTGCCCAGGCTTATTAACTTCAATTTAAGAGTCGAGAAAAAAGAAAAAAACTTCAATTTAAGAGAGATATGCGTGCTTACTTAGAGTTCATTTTAAAGTGCGGCTTTGCAACTAGTGAGGCGTTGGATGTTCTTTTGTGTCTTTGACACCTGCATGTTGAGCAATAATTTGATCTTTTTGGGATTGGCTTCGATGCCCCTTTAGCTAAGCATGAAGTTGAGGAACTTGTCAAAAGATACGCCGAAGGCACACTTTGTAGGATTGGGACGCATCTTATATTCCTTTAAAATGCCGAACACGAATGAAAAGTTACGGAGGTGATGATCGGTCTTCTTACTCTTGAGTAATATGTCTTCAATATATACTTCCATGGTATGACAATGTGTTTGGCAAAAATTTGGTTGACCAACCGTTGGTAAGTGGCGCTAACATTTTTTAGATATATGTATATATTATCAACAGTACTTCCAACTTCAAAGAAAGCTCATGGTTTTCATTTTTCAAAGCCTCAATCTGCATATGTAAAGAAATGTTATAGCCCTTGAAAAGAAGATAGATAGTTCTTCACGATAAATGAAAATAACCTTCGTTTGGGAGTTTATA